CTGGATCGGAGTTGCAGGGCGTTTCGGCTCCCGTAATAAGTCATTGCATACTGTAGTCGGCCGTATTTTCCTGAGGTTTCTTGCGGAGTATGAGCAAAGGCGAGTTCTCAACGGCCGCTCGGATTGTTTGCTCGATAACTCTAGATAACTGCTCTCGAATGACCAATTATTGCTAGTAGCTAATGCGTTCACTGTCTTTTTAGAAACAAATGTTCTCAACTGCCTTCTTCTTATCTGTCCCTGTTTGCGAGTACGTTTACAGACATTCAAACCTTACCACATGTTCGATGGACAAATTTTTCCTCCATCCTGCGTGCCCACTAGGGAGGCATTCGAAAGTAGCAAGTAGGCCCACACAGTGCGTCCTCATTATTACGCTGAGGGGAGTCCTCTATAAACCCTAGCTTTTCTAAGTTCTCCGTTCCTTGAATCGACCACTTTCAACAAACGGGCCTGTGTTACGTACCTTGAAATTGTACTTCGTCGTATTCATTTGCCAAATGTGAAATTATAGTGGCTTACTAACCAGTTTGCATTCCCTACTACTGATTTAACGCTGAGGTTCTATCAGATCGTTTTTTTTGGTTTCAGATGCACCAGCAGGCGGACAACTCTTCAGCCAGTGCTCAGTAAGTCAAGTAATTTGCCTGTCAAATAGGGTTCTTTCTGCTTAATGTGCTTCATGTACCGGACGACTGTCTACGGTCAGCATAGCGTAGTCCACACAAAAAAAACTATCCACTCCTTTGACCATCATTCAATAGGTATGATTTGACGCTTTCCTCAATGTACTTAGTCTGTCCGCCTGTATATGCAGTAATAACTGCACAACTGACTGCTAACATAGCAAGAAATTGTTGCTTATATCTTCAATTGTTTCCCATAGAATACATGAAAAAAATACTACTCCTCATACTCGTTTATCAGGGAATTACGCCTTTTTTCGAATTTCGTGCTAAAAGCTGGGGTCTCTTTAGACTGCAAAGAAGTGTACCAATTCTGGAATAATTTTGAAACTAATCTTCGTATTAGAAGGTTTTGAAAACCCGCTTAGAGCTTAAAATTCAAAGAGGACGTAATTCTCCACCACACGAACGGGAGAAGGGATTTAATTGGGCGTGTTTTCTATCACGTGTATTTGAAATTATAAGGGCATCGAAGGTCAATGGAACAGTTTTGTGCTACTTCAGTAATCTTTAGTTGGTCAAGTATAGTTTAGACAAGTGGCTGAAAGAAGGTCATTCAAACGGTCGCAACATTGTCAATTCATCCTGCATTTGCATTTTTGGTGGTTTTTAGAGGCGTTCAATCTCTCTTTTGGGAATTGTAGGTGCACGAGAGAGAGAGAGAGACCGATGTGCACCAGTCTATCTGGATTTCAGAAAACAGATGGCTCCTTAAAACATCTTTTGCCAGGTGCAACTTTGAAGATTGCAAAAACAGCAGAATATTTTAATGGATTTACGAATTTCAAGAGTGCTCGTCGGCTGTTACCCCTTGCTGCATAATCTGACTAACGAATGAGAAAATACATAGGACGAACGCAACGGCATTTGGCAGCCAGAGCCAAGGAGCACTTGTCTAGTTGGATACTGAAGCAGGAAAATAGAACGCCTCGCTCTTCCATTACTGAACACCTGCTAGATACCGGTCGTTCTGTCGACCCCAAGACTTATTTACGAGTACTTGTTCGAGCACGAACAACTCGTATCTTGCGCTACCTGGAGACAGCCTATATATGGCGGTCAAAACCTGACCTGTGAAAACAGGTGGAACATGTGGTTGACCTAACTTTGCCCTAGTAACACCCGGCTCCCTGATTTACACAGTTCCCTGCCCACCTTAACGCTTTTCCCTGCCTTTCTTTCCACATTGCTTTAACTCCCTTACTTTACTGATTGTCCTTCGTGACCATGTCCTATGACCTTATTGACCTTTCTGTACGAATTCTAATTCGTTCTTCAGATTATGCAACGGGAGATAGCAGCTGTTGAGCACTCTCTAAATTCGTACATCCATTAAAGTATTCTGTTGTTTTAGCCATTTTTAAGCATCGATTTTCCCCTCCTGCTATGCGGCTGGGTGTCCACAGGCCATGCCGACAGCTGCACGTCGATTAACACTAAACTTTTAAGAGGTGTCAGCGCCGAGGACAGTCACCACCTTCCAATGGCCAATTCTAGCCTGTTAGTCAACGCAAACCCAGGTCCTGTGGATGGCATCAAGCATAGCCTAGTGCACGCCGTTCAATCGAAAGGGCAGGAGCTCTTTGAACAGTTGGCACAGAGTTCGTCGATGATAGACTGACTGATGCAGGATACGTCAGCACCCGAGAGGCAGAGTCGTAGTAAATGCCAACGGCTAATACCCAAGATATTTCATACCGGTGTTCCTGCTCTTTATCGGTGAAATTAATGATGAACATTTAAGTAACCCCGCCCCCCTTTTTTACTTTCGTTTTGACTTTCTATCAGCTATATGACACCCTTCGCGATCGCGATAAAAGGCTACTATCCGAGAAAGCCGGGGGATGTTGAAGTGAATGTGAGTGTTTTTATCGTCTTTATGGATATATTAAAAATGTTGTTGTCAACGCGCTTAAATGGAGTGGTTTGCAACTGAGGCAATCAGCCTTCATTTGCACATAGTAATTACCTTAGGTAAAAACTCAACATCCAAATGCACCCTAAACGGACCGCGTGGTAGATACGCTGGACCAGCACACAGGGGCCAGACCAGAGTGTGGCGGACTTTATTCGGGTTGCGCTCCCACAAAAAGTACCGAGCATGGAGAGCGGAGGCGTGGTGGCCCGCATAGAGGCGGCTTCGGTCCCGCCTTCGTTCTTCTTGACTCATCCTTACACCGGGCACGGGTGTTTGAGGGAAGAAAGAGAGAGTGCGGTAGCTGTTTCACAAGTCTACCGTTACCTTAAACTAACATCCTCAACCAAATATATGTGTTCAAACTGACAGAGCCAGGCATTGCCCTGTCATTCAGAATGCTTCGAAAATAAATTTGCGTCAGATTAAGCGAGTTTCAGAACCGAATAGTGCTATTTTATCCCCGATGATGCATATAATGTCATGGAAGTGTAGATTACAATTTGTTTTTTTTTCTGACAGCAGTTTTTAGATCTGAAAAGATGGTTTTTACTGCCAGAACCGCTTTTATCCTCATCCGTCTTTTTGGAAACAATATAGGTCTAAACGTGTTTCAAAATTTCACATCCAACTGCTTTACCTAAAGAATTTTTCGATTTGCTAAGCGTTAATCAGAGCGTGGGAGCTTGTTTCGGTCATTTTATCAGCAGGAGCAAATGACTCGAAGTGCCGAAGTGCAATTTGGACAAGGACCTAAATCACCCCTCTAAAAAGCACTATCTGAAGTTTTCTTCGTTTTACAGAAGTCTATTTTATTGCGTTATACAGTTTTGCAGATATAAAGTCCTTGATTACACAAGGAATGCATTTTAGGCATATGGGAGTGACACGTTTCGTGACTTTTCATCCATAGACATTTTGCCTTGGCACTTGGTGTATCGGCTAAGAGCGAACCTTATGGCGATTTGATCCTGCTTCCATCCTACCTACTGTCTTTTTGCATTTCCGGACACCTTCATGTCCACTATTTTCCCCCCCTCCATCCCCTAAAGGTCAATGATCATCTTTGCCTGCTTTCGCGAGTGGATAGCAGCCACTATCAGGTACTCAACAAACAGACTAAATGTCAGGGCCGGGTGCCTGCTGAGGTGTTATCAATTATGGTCGATCTTCCCGCCGACAACATGTCGACAAATGGACCAATGAATCCCCCCTCTTCGCCTACGGTGAAGCCTCCCGGGCCTGCTCCCCCGTTGGTACGGCTTACTTTCCTTTTGCTCTTTTGGTGATGTCACTATTTTGTCTCACAAGGCTACAATTTTCTCTCTGTTTACAGCCACCACAAAAAGAAAGGTAAGTCTCATTTTCTGTGCGGCGCTTAAAGCTCAATGTAGAGTCCCACAAGTAATTGCATAGGGCACACTAGTGACACAGCAAGGCGTGCCGGCGAGAATCAGGGAACCGAGCAGATAATTTCTGACCTTTTTTTATCGTCGTCAGTCAACCACTGAGTTGGATATTCCGGCGAACTTGCTGCCTATTGGCCAAACGGTCCGCGTTCGAATTCTACGCTATTCGAAACATCCAGCTGGGTATGACTGACTGACTGACTGACTGACTGACTGACGACGACTAGAAAGCCAGAAATCAGTGTCTTAGACTCCCTTTTATTTGTCAGTACTTCTGTCTACATTATTGGCTGTTGTGTTGTTCAGTACGATGTCGCTTTATTTTAACTCAAATGATTTGACAGCTGTCGTATTCAATGCTTGTGCATATTGCACACAGAGGAATCAAAGAAAATGTAGACCGAAAGTGTTAAACATGCTTTAAAAGAGATAACCTCTCCTTTTATGTCTCAGTGGCAAAATCCTGTTGTCTTTGAGTGGGCAATTACCCCTGCACCTTGTTGTATGCTAAGCAAGAATCGAGGTAAAGTCATCCGAAAGTGAAACTGTATTTTGCACCGAAGTGACATATTAGTCGGGAGGAGTTTGCTTGCATCCATATGTCCTAGTTGCGCCATCGAACCCATCACCCATGGTACCGGTATTTTGGCATAGGCGCAGCAGAAGAAGGCAACCCAGCCCTGTCCGTTTGTTGTTGTGCATAGTTATTTAAACCAAATGATGACTTGTGATCACTCAGAGACTTTGTGGCGTCCCAATCGCAAGGACCTCCAGTTACTAGTCTGTTGTCTTTACAACTAAAATCCTGAATACAAAATAGTTTTTCATCCTGTTTGAACATGTTTCATAGTCTCTTCAGATTTTATCATCTGTTCTAACCTGGAACGACAATGCCTCCCTTGTGGCAGGCTGAGAAACATCTGTTAACCACCTAAAACACTCTTAGTACAGTTCTTTGTAGTGGTACCAGTCATCCTTCACCCATGTTTGTGACATTCTGTTGTGCTTGGGATGGCCCTCTCCTCAGACCATTCGATGATAGTACATTGCCCACTTGTGTATTCGTTACATGATCATTTACTCGCCCTGGATGACGTTTGAGCCTTCTTTGGTCTCTGGGGCGTCCAGATGCAATTGTCGTCCCAGCATCTTCTCCTCATGCTTTAAATGGATCATCTGAAACTTTTAGCCGGCTATAGCGCACCCACTGGACTGTAGTTTAAGATTATTTCTTGTTAGGAGCCGCGAGCTGCGCTCATGACAGGTTATCGATCCGCCTGCACACGGCGAACGTAAATTGGCAATCGATTTTAAAATTTAAAGCTGCGATCAAACTAAAACTCTGACAAGCGAGGCGTTGAGTCACAAGCCAGTGGCGTTGCTATTCGCGCCAGGACCAACAGTCCTGCACCTTTACTACGAGGAAGCCCAACTCACAACATCTTCACCAAAACTCCAAGCAACCGCCATCACATGTTTAAGCAAGGACTTCACTCAATTCTGCTGGGTCGCTACATCACAATTGCAGTATAAAGTATACATGCGTATTTCTGCATTGTGATTAGTTAACACCGGTTCGTGAATACAATAGTTATTGTTCCACGTACTGTTTTCACTAGTCCATCTGAACTATACTTTTTCTGTGTGATCACAGTAATTATAGTTATTGCGTTTGGTAGACCCTTTCTGTCGTCAACTCCGTGAGTGATGATGCCGAAGCCTATTCGTGTGTTTTTAAACGAGAGCAAGAAAGTAAACCTACCCGTGGACTACAAGCTCTCGGTCTCTATCTAACCTCCTGATTGTCTAATTGGCCGAACGCAGTAATGTTTCTCGATGTGTTTTATACTCCTGCGGTTATTTCCTCCGACATTCAGTCTTTGCATAGATACTAAAGTGTGCAGATTCGAAGGAAAAGTCAATATGCTGCTTGCTGCATGATTCGGTTACGTTCTTCTTTTCGAAGGAGAGGCGAACGTCTCTGAATTCCCTGTGGGTTACGAAAACGTCGATCAAAAAGCACCGATACATAGGGGCTGAATGATAACTGTCTTCTCTCTCTCTCTCTCTCTCTCTCTCTCTCTCTCTCTCTCTCTCT